ATTTTTTCTTTTCAGGCGACATTACTAAAATTTCGGGCAACATGACTCAGGTTTCGGGCGAAATGACTTCGGGCGAGACGACTCTCGGGCGACTTGACCGGTTACCCTCCACTGTATCAAACATTAAGGCGGTAAGAATAAAGTATATGATCACTAATGAAGGAAGATCTTGATGATCTATCAGTATCAGGAAAGGTACGGAGAACGATATGGGGAATATACATACTGTTATTAGGGTGTGAAAAGTTAAATTTGTTTTTTTGCAATACTGAATAAGTACGATAACTTTCTTCCTCCATCACAGTTCACAATCCATACAGTTCTCCTTTGGACATGTCAACTATCACTCTAAGTCGGTAACATTGAGTAAATAAAGATATTACTAAATAGAATAGGAAAGGTGCTAGATTTTGAGCTCGGTGAAGAAGTAGAGAAAGACGTTTTTCGTCTCGTCACGAGCGTGGGACTTGGTTGAGGCTGGGCGTATACATTGCAGTTAAGAGGAAGTATTGATTTTCTCAAGTCACCCCAAGTGCTAGAGCAGCGTTACAAAAAAAAAATATTTCTCTAAAATGAGTGTTTGCTTCGTACATGACCCCTAAACTCAGGTGGCAGAATTGGTGGTTTTTTTTTTGCAAATTAATTAAGTCATCAAATTGTCTTCCTTCTAGCCATGGTATCCAAAACACTAGCCGCTTTTAGCGCTAACATGAAGCAATGATTAGATACAGTACTCACTCGCTAAAGACGCTGGTGTAACCAAACTTTGTTGCTGAGGTTCTTCCCAGCCGGCAAACCAAGACAAGTACTCTTTAATGTGGGAACGAGTAGAAAAGACTCCTTGATATGCACTCTGATAAGGATGTACAGACATTGCCTTTGACCTTCAAACAAAAAAAATTGTATTATCACTCCAAAATACGTCCCACTATTAATAATTAATGGTTTCTACCTCAGACAAAAGTCTTGGGCACTTTCGCAAAAGTGAGTGTAGCTAAGAGAACATATCTTTTGCAGCCTAATCAACTCCCCCCTCTCCTCTCCTTCTTAAAAAGTTTGTTTAGTTGTCCTTGAGCAGTTGTCCTTTGCTGTTGGTGGGGGGGGGGGGTTATCTATTTTTCATCTATGAGGTATGTATCCGACATGTAGAGAGAAGTGTGTAGTTGCTGTCTAAAGGACTTAAGGCCATTATCAAGCTTAATGGGTAAATCAAACTGCATCCTCTATCCTCGTTCTAGTTTCTTCACTGCACTTCAAATGAGGTCGGTTATATCCCCCTCCCTCCTTCCTCCCAAAACAATATCAACTGTTTATGAAATCAGGACAATGCAGTTGAATAGCGATTTCAAAATGCAAAAGTCATGTACAAAGTAGTTTTAGTTGGCTGATCATGACAAGTCATTGAAATGCTAACAGGCTTAGATTTTATAAAGCACTTCCACAACTAGATTCATCTGACACTCAATTCAAACTGCTCTAGTACATGGGGTCACTTGCGAAAATCAATACATCCTCTTGTCAAGAACCCAGTCCAGAATAACTGCAAAGAGCCAACAACCTTTTTTTTGTAAAATTAACTGATTACCTCTCTCCTTCTGTCTTTATGAAATTCAAGTTGTACTGTTTACATCCTCTTCTGTAAACTCGTCTCTCAGGTTGCATCCTGAACATGCACTGTAATTAAAACCAATTCTATGAATGTACAGAACAAGAGTCAATTTTTGGTCAAGAAGTTTGATGCTGAGAGTAATTCTCACAAGACTTGTCAGTGATATTCGCTAGTGTGTTTTTATCTGAGTTACTGAGAACAGCAAATGTCAAGATATTGTGTGACATAGCTCTTGGGAGATGGTTTAAGATTGGCAGTTCATGTTTGAAGGTTAAAAATGCTAGGAAGTGTTTGTCATGGAGCTAATCTAACACAATAAAAAACTGTACCTGAGCTTCAGCAACTTTCTGAGCAGAGGCAGCAGACTTGACAAGCATCAAAAACTGATCCTAATAATGTACAAAATAATTGATAAGGTTTTCTTCCAAGGAGGAGAAGATGCCAAAATAACTAAAAAAATAGGTGAACTTATAATAGAAAAAAACCATCATAGTTATACACCTTTATTTCATCAACATTTTGATAAGTCCAAAATTCATCAATCCATTTCCCTCTATTTCTTGCATCTTCCACTGGAATGGTGAAACCTAAATTTTGAGAAAAATCAGTGAAAAACCATGTAGGATAACCACCAAAATTAATTAGTACCCAAATGTGCCTTTAGTTTGAGTGAATTTCAATTTAGGGAATGGTTATTTTGAGGTAGAAGATTGAGTCCACTAGGTAAAGTTGAAGCTTAAAAACAGTGTCAATCTATTTTCAACAGTTGAAATTAGTATACTGTATATAACACAGGTTAATAGCCCTTTTTGTGTGCACAGATTGGCCGATTGGAAATTTGATTAGCAAGTACTATTCATCTCCCAGCATTTGAGGAGACAAAATTGCACCTCAACAATTTAATTTCCAACTAGTCTCTATGGATCAAAGTTAAATTAACAAACAGTTTTGGCTTTTTTTATTGTCAGTAATAATCTTTCAGACTGAGTGTAAATTATATCACAACAGGAAAGTAAAAAAATAGAATTGAAAAAATTATACTCACCCAGCAAAATGTGTGTATCAGCTTCACTCATCTTCTGGAGATCCGTTAACACTGCTTTGGCAAATATTTCTGAAGCCTACAACCAACATAAAAAAAATTAAACCATGAGTATATTATGATATTTCATGCAACAGGCTATTTAGGAAAGTTCTTACAAGTTGATACTGACCGAGTATGCAAATTATTTCTGAAAGTGCAATAACCTTAAGTTTTGTCATTGATAAAAAAAATTTTTTGCCTCTAAAACCAAAAATATTAGTTCTGTGATTTTCCCTTCTTTAACCTTCACTCTCAGACTTGTCTTACCCATAGTTAAAATAATCTCTTAATTTTCAAAGGTTTGGGGTAGTTTTATTGATCTTAGCTCTACACAACCAACTTTTCCAGAGCAAAGTATGCTGTCCTCAAGAGAGACCACATATAAATTTTATAGAAGTCTGTTGTTCATTGAAAATGTTTTTTGAACAAACCTATCAGCTAGTTTGTTCTTCTTACACACTGATATAAAATTAAAAATCAATATCACATGTTGCTCTTTTGCTTTCCTACGGCTATAGACAGACACTTGCCACAAACCTAAAGAGAGTTAATGTACCTGATCTATATCTGGGCCACTGATGGCATATTCCATTCTAATTTCAATGCTCTCTGTGCTGTTTACAGGGTAAAGGCTTCCACCAAACACACAAGGACCAATCAGAACTGGAAAGGGTTTCTGTACAATAAACTGGTAAAAATATACTTTTTAAATAATTTGCATTTAAGAGGGCATTATTATCAGAAAAACTGGATAACACATGAGAATTCTCGTTCAAAACATAAAATATTACAACATTGCAATCAAGCTAATCCCTCCCTCCATTCCTAGAGTACTCTAACTGAATGACCAACTCAGAATGTATCATTCTCATTCATTCACAAATAGAATGTTAAAAGTGAACACAGCATTTCATTTAGTTAACTGATAACAACCATCAGCTTAAAAGGCTCATGTGGCCAGTGGTCAGCCCCTCAAATGCAGGCTCAATTTGATTATTGCAGCAACATCCCCTGTTTTAATCACCATTGCCAGGTTTCTGGAATAGGGGCAAATGGTTGGGTTGCAAGGATTTCCTAGCTATGGGGAAAGCATTTTATTTGGGGGCTGGCTTGACTTTAGAAGACCTTAGACACCCCTGCTGCCCACCTTTTATCTAGTCCAAGCAACAAGTTAACATGATTCAAACTCACCAAGTAATCTTCAGAGTCCTCTGTAGAAACATCAGAGTTCATACTTGATAAAAGATAGCCAAACTGACTAAGAAACCCTGTGTTTACAACATGCAATAAAGCTGATAGACCCCAATGAGCTGGACTGTCTTGGGTGCGAGAAATGTAACCTCCTATTGTGAATACTTGACTTCCTAGAGGTATTATTTGGATAATGAATGAACTAAATCAGTCATAATACATTTACAATCAGGCCTCTTTTCTCAGTTCTATGCTGTTGTTCTCTCAAGATAAGGGTGTACTTTCTAGTGACAAGTTCTCTTCAATGAGA